CTCCTTATCTCCTCTTAACAATTTACGTGCGAATTTTTGTATAGTTATGGCATCGTTGTGTACTTGTGAACCTTCTATATTATAAACCTTTGCATTACTACACATCAAGTCCAGATCTTTTTCAAAATCTTCTTCTTTCAAATATTTTCCATCGACAATTTTTTGCTTAATTATATTTAGGGCAATTGGGTTTTTGATCACTCCAAAATAATCAGGATATAATTCTTTATCCGGTAAATTTATGAAGAGCTCTGAATAAGTCCTGCCTTTATTATCCTTGAGTTCTTTAATGGTTTTCCATATTAAATTTAATTTAGTTGCTAAAGGGGAGGATTCTTCCTGACAAGAAGCGGAGGCTTGAGCCGAAGCTCTTCTTGTTTGAACGTTCGGAGCTCTCGTAATATCCACAGCTTGTGTGCTTTGGGTAATTGTATCAAGGTCCATTTTAGTTCTTTTGCTTCTGGTGATCCTAAGCCTAGTCATTTTGAGTTGGAAAACTTGGTTGTATTTTTTTGGATGGACGTTTTGGATTTACAGATGAAATAAAAATTCTGTGGCTTGGCTTTTTTGCTACTGAGCCCCTGATATTTGATTTTTGATAGAATTAATTAATATATATAAATTTTCCGAATATTATCGTTATTACTATTATTATATTTGCAATTTACAGTTATATTTACAAATATACAAATAACAACATAACACAACACCACAAGCTATTTTTTTTTTTCCCCGCATTTTCGCGTTGTGCTGATCAGTTGATCATGTGACTTTATTACATGTTTTCGTGATTTCCTGATTTTCCAATATCGAATATTATTTTAATGGCCTCTCGTTTAGAAGTTATTGAATGGTGTCAAAATCTAAAAATTCTTGAAGAAAAAGTAAGTTTCATATTTAAAATAATATTGATTTAACATCATTAATTAAAATTATTTATTTATATAATAGCTTGAAAAAAATCAATCACAAAATGGAAGAGAAAATCTACTAAACATGATACTTAATGAAGGAGAATTTCTTAGAGAGGTTTTAATCCTTAGCATTAATCCTCTAACATTCTCATTAACTACTGTACAATTCCATTTGATTAAAGCAGCTTGCATGGTGCATAAATTGGTCATTAAATTTTGTGTAATTTTGCGGTACACATTTATTTGAATTAACTTCCTTTTTATAAGGTTTTACGTAAAACGCGTTTATGCTTGCATCAAATTGAAGAATGTACCCCGATAAATGCTCAACCAGCGTTATTCCACGCTTTTATACATTATGGACAGTAAGCATATTATTTATTTGCTTGATTTGATTAAAATTTAATGACCAAAAAAAAAAACCCATCTTCCTTTAGAGATCTTATTGGCGGGGATCCACGTAATGATCCTGTAATTTTATTCCACCGATGGACGATAAGGTCAAAATATAAAAACATTGATTTCGGATATGAATTTAATAAAAGTGAAAAATCAGTTAAATTATTGGAAAATCTTTATCAAACTTTATCAAAAGAATTTGAGGTATAATAAAAAACAAGGGTGTTTATACACTTTGTAAATATTCATGACTCACGTTCTGCTTTTATTAATTAGGATTCTGCTACGAATCCGGATTTTCCTAGTCCAACTTCTATATCGATCAATAACATATTTCGATGTCAATTAGCATATGAACTAGGGGAATATTATTTTTCATCTGATAAAAGGAAATCTATTGAATATCTATGTAAATGTAGATTTTCGGATGACAAATATATTGAAGAATATGATTCATTCTGGTGCGTTATTGGTTTATCGGTTTTTATGGATTATAGTTGTTCAAATATTTTCATAATAACATCTATTATATTTTCAAAGTGATATAAATGAAACACGAGTTGAAAAGTTAATCAGAACTCAGTTGGAAGTTATAACAGTACTTTCCCCAGATGAACAAATTAATCACTTTATACAATATGGACAAGACTATGAGGGCGTTTTCTTGGTGCTTCTTAGAGCTCTTTTGGAGAATATATCATTAAGAATTTCCAAGGATTTTCGAAACATTTTAGTTTCTAATGCGTTCAATAAAAATCAAGAGAAATCTGCTATCAAGATTTCCTTATGTAATGCTTTCGATTTGCCACCAGATTCATCTTCAGGTAAACTATTAAAGCAATATATTTTTACATATTATTTAAATACGAATTAATTAACTTTTATGTTTAGAGGAGATGATTAAGTTGGTTCCAGAACATTGTTTTCATTATCTAAATTATAATTTTGATGAGAGTATAATTGAAGAGGTTGCTAAGTTAATCAAGACATTATATGGTAATTTCCCTGGTTCAAAGATGAGTGAAAGTCAGAAAAACTTTGTTTCTAGCTTTTTCAAAAAGATCGACAATAGTAAAGTATGGAGAATTATAAAAAAGATTGAAGGTATTTATAATGATGAATTATATTCAATCAATGTCAGAATTCGTTTTGAAATTTTTTTATTTAATTTATAGGTTTCGAATTTATACAATATCCACTTGAACAGTTCTTCGATGAAATCGCACAATTTAATCTTAAATATAAGAATTATAAGTCTGGAAATTTAGAGTTAAATGATTATACTTCTACTAAAAATTTAGATGATGACCTCGATTCTTTATTAAAAGAGTTAAATGTAAATATTTAGTATCATATTTTCGTTATTAAAATTTAAATAATAGAAAAAGATTTTAATTAAACGCGTTAAATTCTTTTACAGCTGGTGAGTCCGGAACGCCAAGATGATGTAAGTATAATACGACAAGTAATGAAAATTTTTTACATAATAATAATTCAATATATTATTACAGGTTGATATATCTACCAATCTAGGTCAAACAATACAGGAACGTTGGTTGGAGATCACGGACTCAATAAAAAAATTACAAGGAGAAGATTTATATGCCGGAAAGATTGAAGAGATAGAAAACTTGTGCATCGATACGCTCGACAAATATGGCATTATGGAATTTCAAATTTTGGTATGTTTTATTGAAAACGGATTTATAATCGATAAATCGAGAAATTTATTGATTTATTCCTTTGAATAGAAAGATTTATCTTGTAGATTAATGGACTTTTGCCGCTGGCGATTTCTTAAACAATTTTTAAAGAAAGTACAAAAGCTGAAACTTAAAGATGAATTCAAGAGTGAGCGGTTTTTCCTTTTTTTTTTTTGTTTTAATGAAACTGCCATGATCTAATATAATTAATTAATCGTCTAAAAAGACAAAATAATCGAGCATTTTCGATTTTGTAAAATAATGTCATCATGTGTTGGGATCTTGGAGACATTTACAGAATTTTCAAAGGGTAATAATATGTAACTAGAAACTAATAAATCTTTTTAGCCAACATTAATAACTAACTTTATTATCGTATATGAAAATTATAGATATTTCAAATGGTTTTGATGTTACAATGGATCAAAAACAGTTTGATATAATATCAAACATAAAATCAGATGATATTAAAAATGTGAGAGCGAACTCGATGAAATTTTTTAAAGCTCTTTCTTCAAGAGGAGTAACTTTGAAGGTAAAAAATTGTTATTTAGTGTTATTTGATTAATATTGATATTAATTATTCATTCATTAAAGGAACCTGTCTTTGAAGTTATCGCCAAACTTGAACATCAAAAATGGATTCACCAAATTATCGGAAGTATGCTTGCTGGATATTTATGTGGACGGCAACGGGATCAAGAGTTTAAGGTACATCGCGTTTTATGTGCTTATTTAATTGACATTAATAGGTTTTGATACAAAATAATCTTTTTTAGCAAGTTAATCCCATGTTGTACGGTCCATTAACAATCATTATGATGCCAGCTGATTGTGCAGTAAGATATTGGCCATATATATCGTAAGTTCTTTAATATTTGTTCACATTAGTTTATGAAATAGTTGCAAATTAAACAATATTTATATTTAAGATCTCGCCTGTTGCAAGTTTTGAATGAAAAAATTAAACCGATTAGGGTTGATTTGTCATATGCATTAATTCAACATTGTCTTGAATGTCTTGAATCGAGGATAAACAATTGTCCTAAATATATTTATAAACTTCGCCTAGCTGACATATATCATTTGCAAGGCTTTGCTTCAAAATCACTTAGGTAATTTTTTATTTGTGATTCGGAATTTTTTAATTTTTAGGTTAAAATAATTTATTCTATATATAATAATAGGATTATCATGGACGCATTTATTTATCACTCTTCTTTCTATATGAATATGAAAGTTAATGAAGAGAGTATCTGGCATTCATATGCAATTCCCAAAATGATTCAATGTTGTCTATCTAAAAAAGGTAAGTATTTTAAAACCATAATTTTTTTAAAAAAAAAATTTTTTTTTTACTTCTTCGTTATAACAGAAATGATTGCGGCATTGGTATTGCATCAATTTATACGGGGTAACGTCACTTGGCAGGCAAAATATACATTAACTACTAAAGTCATTGAGAATGGAGTATTGCAGTCTTCAATATTCACTAGATTTATATATGAAACTAAATTATTATTACATATTGTTGGTATCCTTTTTTTATTAAAACGACTTGTAAGCGATTTTTGCAACATCGAAATTCATGTATTTCTTTAATTCCGAATCGATTTTTTCCAGACACTTTGCATAAAGTAGGAGAACTTTCTAGATGCAGTCAAATTGTAAGTTGAATAATCATTCACTATTTTACTTAACATTTGCAAATTAATAAGAGGTGGGGTTTTTTTTATAGATCGAATGGCTAAAATCTTCAATACAAGAAGAGACACCTTCAATTGCTAGTAGTACTTATATTAGCTTTGACACATCTTTATTAAGTGGAAAACATGGTGATTCTACTTACAGGCTAAAAAAGAAATTAATTGGAGTGGATATCGATCCTAATCATCGTAAAGTTAAAATTGAAGAATTACAATTCGAATTTTTGAAAACACTTAGTTTATGGATTGATGAACAATTGGAGGTAAATTTATTTTTTATTATTTTATTTTATTTTATTTTTCTATTTTTATAGTTGATGATAAACATTTAATTAACAGGACGAAGAAAGGAAATTATATACGGTTGTAATTCTTAACTACCAAATATTCGTTATATTCCTACTATACATACGTACGTTTATAATATCACCTTTAAATAATAAATAATAATTTTTAAAAAATTCAATTTATTTTTTATTAAAAGAAATTATTGCCATTATCAAAAATGTATAATAAAATAATTTTGTAAATAATAGATGTGAATTTAAAAAAAATCGTCGAGAAAGGTCTAGTGTGTTTGCTTTATTATCCTGTGTAAATTTTTTCTGAAATATATTAATTAATATAAATAAATTACATCATTCGACATGTAATTGTCGTCGGTAATAAAATATTGATTAATGATTGAAATGAAGATTGCTGATTACGAAAGATAAATTAAATTACCCTTATATATACGTTCATGAGATTAACCGGTAATTGCCGTCTTTTTCTGGAAACTCGACTACATTAATTTCAGCAGGAGAAGTAGATAAACTTGCTTCTTTCCTTACTTCAGACTCTCCATGTTCCAAGTCACCTATTGAAGACGGAGGTAGATGTTGATTTATTGAACGTGGGTGCGTTTTACCAAATAGACCGTCCATCTCCTCTAATGATTTGCCTTTTGTTTCTGGATAATAGATTAACACACTTATTGCCATGGTCATACCGAAAACTCCAAAGATTATAAATGTTCTTATAAAGAAAAGGTGGGAAACGTCATAAGATTGATATATTGGAGTTAAAAAGAAGCAATTATAAAAACAATAGAAATTCTTACCCCCATGTAATCCTATTTTGTATAAAAATAAAACATTATAAAGCAAAATATATATCTATCAATCTATACAGTATAAATATATATAAAAAAGTAATGAATATTTACTTATCCAACAAAGACGGAACAATTTGTCCAATAATAAAATTAAACAACCAGTTAGAAGCTGTTGTAACAGACATTGCTTTACTTCGAATGCTGATGAATTTTACAACTTTGTTAATACCAATTAAAAATAACGCGCCTATAATTATATGCAATATATCGTTATCTTACCGTAAAGGATAAATTTCAGCAGGGTAAATCCATCCGGTCTACGAATGATAACAATAATATTAAGTAGTCAAAAGTCATCTTAAATTCGTGAGTTTATCTTAATTATTTAATATATTTACCGGACCCCAAGAATAGGCAAAGCTAGCCACGAAAGTGTATATGAAAACAATAACAGCGTAAGAACAAGATTTATTTTCTAATTTTACGAAATTTTTTTTTAACACAGGATCGTAATATTTATTTCCGTTTAATGCTAATATAAGTCCTATAATTAACATTGATATTCCCATTAATATGCCCCCAGAAATTCTGAGAAAATATATTTGGTCATGTTAATGAGTAAGGTGGACCAAAAAAATTATTTCTCCATTATTTAAAATACAATTTTTAACTTACAGAGTTGGTCTACGTCCCCAACGATCAATCCAAAGTATTGCAGGAATTGTGGATAACATATTTACAAGACCTATAAACAAATAAATAAATTAATTAATTTACTTGAAGAACACGTTTCACGTCATTAACATATAATGTAATATGTCACATCCATACCATTAATTCCTGTAGCGAGAAGTCTGGATGAATTAGATGTAAGTCCAGCATTAATAAAAATTTGAGGCGCGTAGAACTACAAATTATTAATTCACAAAGTAAATACGCGTGCGTTCATACAAAAATTATTGGTTTTTTAAACAAAAATATTCTTTTAGTATTGAAATTTTACCATGATAGCATTAATTCCGGTCAATTGTTGAAAAATCTGAATAAAAATTCCCAATATCATTCTTCTACGAATATTCTCGGGACCTTTTTTAACCAATTCAAAATAATTTTTTGCCGCAAACTCTCGTTCGAATAAAACATTATCTTTGATTTCCAAGTATTCTTCTTGTACAATTGCCGCATTTTTATCTCCTCCAGCTCGTAATTTTGCTAATACTGCTATTGCTTCTTCCTCACGATCGTGATCCATTAACCAACGTGGTGAAAATGGAAGGAAAAGCGTCCCGACAGCTATCAAATGAGAAAATAATAATAAGAAAAAAAAAAAATACTTTCATGAAATATGTACTTAAAGATAATCTTAGGAATAGAAAAAAAGAAAAAGAAATAATAATAATGCAAGAATCATAATCTACGTACCAAGAATTATTGCCGGAACAGTCTGAATACATAGTGGAATTCTCCATTGTACAGGTGAATCGATTTTTTCAGCAAAATAATCGATCCAAAACGAAATTGCAATCCTTAAAAGATAAAATAGAATAGAATAAAAATCGAGAATTCATTCAATTGCAATAAAAATATATATATACACACATTATAGTATATATATGCTACTTAATTACCCTATAGAAATCGACCACTGTTGAAGAGTTACCAAACGGCCGCGCATCTCTTTTGGACTAATTTCGGATTGATACTTTTTGTATTTTTATGAGGATATTGTTATTTATAAACGCGCAAGATCAGAATGATACGCAGCCTAACAATCATTATTAATTCAAATTACATACCAGAGGTACGATCATAGAAAGATTACTAAAAAAAAAAAGGTGTAATTTATATAATTTACATACGTAAATTTTCCAATATTAAGATAATCCATGTATTACTTACTATCACTTACTATCACTTACCCAATTGAAAGACCAGAAATGATCCTCCCAAAGTACAATTGAACAAAAGTTGTAGAAGTTGCTTGTAAAACACAACCGACTATAAACAAAAGAGATCCGCCGAGAATCGAGAATCTTCTACCGACTTTATCAGCAAAATATCCTGATATGAGTGCGCCTGTTAAATGAAATAATCGGAGGTTCATAAAAATTCGTTGGTTTACTGCGCCTCACGCGTTATAATTTACTATACCAAAAAAACATCCTGCTAAAAGCGATGATACGATTGTTCCTTCTTTTACAGGGTCAGCAGGAAATTCTTCGCGAAAATGAGTCATCGTGAGAATTCCAGATATGACGCCTATTTAAAATAAAATTATGATCGTCGGATTCATATTTTTCATTTTTTTTTTTTTAAAAAAAAAATTACAAAAAAAAAATAAAAAAGGGAATTCACTTACCGATATCATATCCAAAAAGTAACCCCCCTACATCAAAATTGTAAAAAAAAAAAAAAAAAGATATTTAAAACCTTTTAATGAGAGAAAAAAAAAAAAGAAATTATAAATCCATTACCAATAGCAGAAAATGCTGCACATAAATATACATAAACTTTACTTCCGCTCATTTTTCTATTGTAAAAAATCTTTTAGTACAATTAATTTGATAATTTCACATAGGTTCATGAAATGAATAATTGATACTTCACAACATCAGGTTTTAACAAAATTTTTGAATATGATATATATTTTTTTCGTTTGATCTACATATTCCAATGATCAAACTTTTGCAATTGTCATAATGAAAGAATCAAAAAGGATAAATTCAATGCATGTACACGGAATTATTTGAATGATTGAATGATTTCGTGGAAAACTTTAATTTCATTTGAATTGTTCAATAAATAAACTTGATAACACCAATAACCAAATTAAGTTTAAGTACACTGTAGATGCATATCTGACAATCTTATCAATATCACCAGAGAAGTTAGTACGAATATTCGGAAAAAAATTGATGTGGGGCGTTTATCAAGTTGTTCGCATTATTCTTTAGATAAAAGTGAATCATAAGATATAATGTCTTCGCTGGAAATAAAAAAAACATTAATGTTGAAATATGAGATTCAATCAAAAAATTCCATTATCACATTTTTGAAATAAAAGAAATTACATTTTAAAAAATTATTTTTTGTGCAATAAGATAAAACAAAGATTATTCTAATTCATTTCTCACGGAGAACGCGAATAATCATAAATATTTAACTTACAAAAATTATTGTCGTGAGGATGCGAATATAAACAAAATATTTTATATTTTGTTACATCTGTACCAGGTTAAAATTACAAATTATAATGGAGATTTTATTAAAGACACGAAAATCAATTGATTTAAAAGGTTAGAAGTAAACAATAATTAAAGATATTGAATTTCTATTATATTGGTCGAGTAAAATTCCTTATAAGGAATAGAATCAAGAATGGAATAGGAACTTGCATAACAAAAAAATGTAACATTTTTTAAAAAAAATTGTCGTATGAGGAGATGCGAATATAAATATTATTGGAGCGAATATGATTTCTAGAATTCTAATCATTAATGAGTTCTTAAAAGAATACATTCATTTCACAGTACAACGGAAGACGCGAGCAATAAACAAATGAAACAAATAATAAAACTTCCTTTATCGTATGACCAAAAAATTGTATAAAATAAATCGTTTTATCCATCATCTTTACTTTTCCTTTTGAAATATCTAAAAAAATTATATTAAACAAAAAGGTTTAATGGTCATTTTCGTTATCACCTTGAAATAACGTCACGTTTAATCATTGTCACATAAAAGCAAAACGAAAAAAGACGTTGTTTTTTATTAATATTCTTCTAAATAACGAAAACATAACCTTTCACGAGCTCTTTTTGTTTCCTTTCGTTGTCCAAACACCGAACGACCCAACGACAAAGATCATCACTACAACACAAATAATATAGTTATTCATTTCCCCTCCCTTTTTTTTGCTTCCTTTGTTCGATTATTGAAAAAAAGAAAATTTATTTTATATTTGTTTACTAATTTTTTAATAATCGATCCCTTTATTATAAAATATTCTTATTATAATTAAATATTCTATTATTTCATCTTTTTTACGTTAATTTGAGCTTGTAATTGATATACAACCCAAAGCTTTGCCATGTGATAATAAGATAGAATTACTATGATCCTTTAAGAATTCAAATATTAAAAATTTATTGAAATAATCCTTTGATAGCTTTGTTACAGTACATGAATAAGCTACTTTATAAGCCCATCCCTTTTCACTTATTTCATTTTGTGTCTAAAGAAAGAAAACTAGATATTTATCTGTGAGACGCTGTTCACTTCAGTAAATTGTTTATGCGAGTATAGTGTATCGACCGAAGGGGTCCCTTTGGGACCAGGTAAAGGACAATAGATTTTTTTCTTACTAACTACGTTCGTGCCCAGCGAAATCTAATTATTTTTGAAAGAATTCTTTTAAATCAGTTCAGAAATAAAGTGATGGTTATTTGACTTTGAGTGCGAAAAGGCGGGGAAGGTAGGACTTCTCTTCGTTTGTGGTGCAGTTCGTTACAAAGTCCTTCATTCCTTTCCCTTATAATGTAGATCAAAAAGTGAAGGAAATAGGCGGGGTATTTATAAAAAAAATATCAGACAGGCCGTTCCCCTTCGTTACAATAACTAATATCCTTTGAGATATATGATTGGCTTGGAAGGAGGATTTTTGCCATTCCGGGAATAAAATCATCTGGAGCATTGGCGTAAACCCTTATTCGTTATATTCGTTACAGTTATTTGGATATGGGTTAACTCTGTAAAACTCATCCCATATTTTTTTTATCATTATCAAAGATTTTCTTATTAATGGCTTTTAATTCTGTTTGATTTCCTTACGAAGTTTTCGAAATCCAGAGGCAGTTATGACTTCTACTGATGCAAGAGAGAATTCTACTAAAATAAGTAAACTAAGTTCTTTATATGCTTCTTAAGATATTTTCTAATGTGCTCTGAAAACCACTCTTTAACGTCGTTGGGAAATTTATTGGATTGTCCATTTTTTGAAATAATCCATTTACATAAACTAATTCATATATCGATCACGAAAACAATGAACAAAATAAAGTTCCCAACTTTTTTTGTTAAGTAATCAGGGTTAGCATTCCAAAATGTGGATTTTTTTGTAATATTTTGCCAAGAAAAAAATTTTTTATCAATACAATAGTAGCGTAACGCACCACACAAAATTAAATAAATAAAAAAATCGGGACTTTGCCTGCGGGAGGTGCATGTAAAAATTTAGCTCAATATATTAATACTTAATTTAATGAAATAAACATTGCAACTAATACTAAAAATCGCGTGCATGTTCTGATCACTTTTCCAGAATAAAGCTAACCTGCATATCTTTTTTATTAAAATTAGTATTAAGCTAAAAAAAAATTAATAAGAAAATATTTTACTATATTATTGATGAATGGTGAATTATAAACTAAGTTGTCTAGTAAAACAATTAAAATATATCAAATTCTTATGTTAATATATAATGTAATAAAGCTCTTTTTCTATTGATATATCTTCAGCCAATCCAAGTACTCATTGATAAATTAAATGCCAAAATATTCTCATACTATAACTTGAAGTTCCCAGAGATCTAAATTAAATCCAGCAGCATATCCTTGTGGAAGCAAATTTTGTGAAACTCCATCAAATAATTCTGCATCAGGGATATTCATAACGTATATTGAAAGATTAGCCACATTGCAAGGAGGAAAGTTGTTGTTATTGTTATTAGGATCAGTATGTCAAACACCAATAAAGTTACCAGAAGAAACATCCATGTTTGGGGTCAGGACCAGTAATATAGTTTACAATATTTCCATCAACATTTGCTGTTTCAAAAGAGATAACAATGGTTGAAATCAGCAGGGTTAGACTTATGTGAAGGTATAATGTGATAGTTAGTGCAATTATACCATTGATATGAAGTTCAAAAATCTTGATGGCTAATACAATCTGAATTGTAGTTCATTCAACTATCATTGTTGGATATGGGGTTCCTACCTCATTTGCAATTGATACAGCTGGTCTACCTTGTATTTGCCTAAGACAATGTCTTAGTTAGACAGAAGTATCTGGTTCTCTACCAGTGAATTGATCCAAAATCATGGTTAGATTAGTACTATATCAAAAATCCTGATCGTTTTACTTGTAAATCATTCCAAAGATTATTCTTACTACAGATTCCTGCCAAAAGTCTCTGAACATTTTTTGGCTCAATATAAAACTTGAAAGTTTTAAATTTTATTAAAAATATTTATTAAAATATTTATTAAAGTACGATATATTACACATCTAGTACTAAATAATTAGTACTGGTCAGGCCTTTATTTGTTTCAATCACAGTCTGAATTCACTGCGACATACTATTGATCAAAATTTTTGATAGTTTGTATCAGAATTTGTTTCTATGCCCTTATAACATTAACAGTTCTGGTATTATCCATTTTTTTAAAGTGTCAAGAACTGTTGACTTTTCACAACTAATAGTCACAGCAATAGTTCAATAACTATCAATATATTAATAGTAAAAAATTATACTATTACATTACTATTGATAATTCTTTGGACATTTTCATTATTTAAAAAAATAAAATTTTATTTTGATCTAAAATCAAAATAAACAAACCAAATATATATTTATTTGATTTGATTCAAGTAAACAATATCTAAAACATTATATAGTCGTAATTTTATATAATCACATGATGTAATTAATATGAAAAAGCTCTTAAAAGATAGCGTCTAGAGACTTTTAATGGGAATTTGTACTTCTGAATATACATAGGTAGGTACTTTATATATTTTAATATTCCCATTATGTAAATATATATAAACTGAAGAATTCACATTATTATTATAATAATGGAGATATGCTTTGAGTAACACATTTTCTTTTACAGTGATTTTTCTTGATTCTGTATATCCCTCTTCTTTCTCTTTATTCACTTATTTTCTTTTTTTTTAGACTTTTTAGAATGTAAGCAACTTTTTTTTTATTGATTCAATAGCTGCGGAAGATATACAGAGGGTGATCACGGGTTTCCGAACGATAAGTATTTTTGTTTTTTTTTCTTTGTTTACATCATCTACGCGTTTA